AAGTAATTTGACAAATGTTAAATGGGAACCGCCTAATACGTATAAGGAAGGAAATTAGAGAAATTGCGCTAATCCCCAATTGATTCCAAGCACCCATGAATAGCTAGCAAATCAAAAAGGAAATTTGCAGAGCTTTGTCCAATAGTTAATGCACCAACCAACCAAAGGTAGAAGAAGCAAGAAGGTTTCTCTGTGAGCGGAAAAATCTTGACGGTCGATGAAGGACGCCGTCTGTGGATATCAAGGACGGTTGATATCTGGCCCATTAACGCATAGGGATTCAGTCCAAGAAGAACACACATTTCGACAGACTATTGTGGCATTCGAAGAAGGTGAGTTTTTTAATTTTTTTTGTATTGAATAGATTAATATGTTTTCATGTACGATTTTTGATTTGATATGCACTAAGAGAGTTATGTGGATGCATTTGGGGTGGACGTCAGATTGATTGAAGTTTTTTGAGTTGTTTTATTGTAATGAGTAAATTTCTTTGCTAACATGGACTGCCACTTGAATGAAGTGTGCATATTAAGGATCAATGAAGTGCATTTTGATTATGAAGGTAGGTTTTGTGTTCATAATTGGTGTTCCTATTATCAGATTTGTGAAGTTGATTGTGGGTTTTATGTGTTGGAATTAATGTGCAAAATAGTCTAGATAAAGGTGCAATTGGGGTGGACGTCAGATTGATTGAAGTTTTTTGAGTTGTTTTATTGTAATGATTAAATTTCTTTGCTAATATGGACTACCACTTGAATGAAGTGTGCATCTTAAGGATCAATGAAGTGCATTTTGATGATGAAGGTAGGTTTTGTGTTCGTAATTGGTGTTCCTGTTATCATATTTGTGCAGTTGATTGTGGGTTTTACGTGTTGGAATTAATGTGCAAAATAGTCTAGATAAAGGTGCAATTTAATGGTCAGTGTGGATGTTGTATATGGGAGTTAAATTGCAGACAGAGAAAGGTAGGGTGCAGTTCAAGAAAAAGTGTGGTTTATGTAATTGAGTTTTGTGCATGTGAATGTTGATTGGTTTGTGATTGAATTAATATGCATATGAATCTTCATTTTTTTTAATGATGGAGCTTGTATGCAAAGTAGTTAGGTATAAGTGCAAAAAAGTATTAGCTTTTATTTAAGTGCACTGTGTTTAAGTGAAATATGAATCAGCAGGGATACTGATTTAGTGTTTTTTATATCTAGGTGAGTGAATATGCAGGAAAAGAGTACTAGGGTGCAATTTATTGTAACAGTGTGGTGCATGTAAGGAATAAGAAATGATAGTATGTAAGGAAAAAGGAATGGTAGTACAAACAAATTGTACTAGTTAAGTGAATATGCATTGAAGTGAATAAAGAATGATATTATGTGGTTATGTTGTCATTAATACCAATCTGCATGTAGTAATGATGCATAACAGTACAATGAAGGTGCATTTGAAGGTGCTATTAAGTTCATTTAGTGATGAATTTCAGTATTTTAACTAAACTAACAAATGTAGGAACTGGAGAAAACTGCGAAACAATACCGCAAAAGAGAAAGAAAGCATGAGCATGTGGGAGTAAGTTCACAAAGAAAAAAAAGAAGGTAATTAATAAGGGGAAACAAGTACAAGTGCAGCTATATTGTGAAGGTTAGAAAAATATAATTTGGAGTGGAGGGACACCGAGAACGTTTATGACTATGGCATCTTCACAATGTGGCATATGGAAACACATCGAGGTGAAGGTTTGCAACTTGCAAGGATGGAATATTGGGCTGAAGAAAACAGACACCAAATTGATAGGGACATTACGCGTGAAGTACATCTCATCATTTCTCCTGAATGAAAAGAATGAGTACATGCAGTAAAACTTAGTGAAGGCAAGGAGTTTGCCAAGAAAGCTAAAGAACAAAAACAAAAGGGAACAACGCCCAATAAATGAATTCAGTGATATTTGCATTTGATATCAATTTGACTTTGTTTTAACATTACAGTTTTACAATGACATATTTGGATTTTACAATTAAAGACTGTTTTATGCTTAATTTTTGTGTGTGAAACGTATTTGACGTTGAATACAGTTTGTTTTAATGTATGTTCGGGTTTACGTGAGTCTTTTTTATAATTTGAATGATGCTTGAAGTTGAATGAAATACATAACATACAATAGTTCCAAATAGTCATTATTTTACACATACATTTTATTGCACAGAATACAAAATAATTACTAATGCAACGTTTGTAAATCTATGGTGCAGTTAAAAATATGTTCCTGTGCAAATTAAGTAATAATTACATAATCAATAAATCTCATTAATTTTTTTAGTGTACATTTAGTGTTACAAAAAAATTGTATGTGTATTTACTGATTGAAACAATTATGAGAAAGCACCAAAGTATGAAGGAAAAATTAAACGTAATACAATTAGTGGTGGATAATGCACCATTTGTGAATCTAGGGTGCACTTCAAAGTATGTTCGTGTGCAAATTAAGTTATAATAATTACATAGTCAATAAATCTCATGGATTTTTTAGTCAATAAATGGTGAGATGTGTGAATGTGTACGTCTAGTGTTTCAAAAATATTTGCATGTGTATTTACTGATAAAAACAATTATGAGAAAGCAACAAAGTATGGAGAAACAAATAAAACATAATAAAATTAGTGGTGGCTAATGTACAAGTACAGGGTGCACATCAGTGTACTTACATATGCATTTAAATTATACGTACAATCCATTCAAAACTTGAACGTCAAAACATGTACGTTCGCAGATCTATTATTTAATTAATTACTAATGCACCCATTGTAAATCTAAGGTGCACTTCAAAATATGCATGTGTGCCAATTAATTACTTTAAAATTACATAGTCAATAAATCTCATGAGTTTTTCTAGTAAATAAATGGTGAGATGTGTGAATGTGTAACGTTTAGTGTTACACCAATAACTGCTTGTGTATTTACTGATAAAAAAGTATGAGAATGTACCAAAGTATGGAGAAAGAAATTGAACATAATACAATTAGTGGTGGCTAATGTACAACTAGAGGGTGGACATCAATGTATTCAAATATGCATATAAATGATGTGTACAATGCAGTAAAGGTATGAACGAGATGCATATTATAAAACATAAAACAATATTCATTAACAAATTCGGTTAAGAGTGTGCATCCACTGCGGTAAAAACAAACAAAATACATTAATTACTAAAAGCCATGATCTTAAACAATCCTATTTATTCAAGGGACAATTTCGGCTATCATGATGGCTCATCTCATTGCACAAACAACAAAGTCTCTTGGATAGAAACCTCTTTGGAAGACTTGATCCTACGTCTTCAACCTTTATTATTGGCTTGTTGTGGAGGATGAACTGTGATGACAAAAGGCACACCGGAACCACAAAAGGACACAATTATTGACTGCTTCATTGATGAACAAAATATGGCTACATGAAACGTATGAACTTTGCCCAACAGAAAAATATGAACTAAAATTAAACGAAGAACAAAAAACGAAGAACTTAAACAGAAAACAAGAATTATGCAGATGAAGAAGGTGACAGTAGCAACTGATAATTGTACGCTTCAATCAAATTTTAAAAATAGGGCCACACAATCATACACAAAAATCTGCAACTCTGCAAATTATTTTGTATTGAAACAGAGCTAAAACGACTATATATTTGTTTTTTGTATTCAAACAATGTTTTAGGGAGATTTTGTGTATTAAAATGAATATATTGATTGTTTTGTATTCAAACGAAGTGATAGGCATACCTGATTCGGATTCCATGGATTTGACGAAAAATTGATTAACCTACCTTGGAATTGAACGTAACAAGAATGGAGAAAAGCAAAATGGAAAAGAAGGGATAGTCTCATACGGCAAACTCTTGATCGCAGGTATGGAAACAAAGCTATTAACGGAAAGAGGGCTGGTAAACTCTACGTGATTCTCTTTCCATGGTTAGAGGTGAATGTAATGGCCAATACACCCTCAAGTCAGTTACGGTCTTGGGTTTAAAATTAAAACAACCGCACGGAAATAATACTTAGATGAATGGCTAGGATCATTTTGTATTTTGTAAATTAAGTCACATTTGTATATGATCCCAAATATATATATATATATATATATATATATATATATATATATATATAGGGTTAAGATCGGATACAAAGTGTGATTCCGATACAAAATGCAAATTCATCTCATCCGTCCAAAATTACAAAATCAATGGCAACAAATATTTTGGCAACTAAGATTCAGCCGTAAGTGGGGAGATATTTCCTATTTTATCTCAAGTAGATGGGTTAGGCAGTTACGTAGAAAAGTTTTTCCATCTTTCAAATTAATACACCGTAGGATCATTCAAATGGATGGTCAGGATTGGTTTGCACTTTGTAAATTAAGATGAGTTTGTATGTGATCCTAAATCTATATATATATATATATATATATAGAAAAGATCCTGTCCAGACGTCCGGACAGGAGCCGCCGTCCGGCCGGCGGCGTTTGGCCGCCTTCCCGGTGGAATTTTTTGATGAAATTTTTATGGCATGTTCTCCATCAAGTCTAGTTTATCCACAAAAAAATTCAGCCAAAAACTCAATCGGGAAGGTCGTCAAATGATTTTTGCAAGTTAACTGGTCCGGAATATGTATTTTCCGGACCAGTTAACTTGCAAAAATCATTTGACGACCTTCGCGATTGAATTTTTGGCTGAATTTTTTTGTGGATAAACTAGACTTGATGGAGAACATGCCATAAAAATTTCATCAAAAAATTCCACCGGGAAGGCGGCCAAACGCCGCCGGCCGGACGGCGGCTCCTGTCCGGACGTCTGGACAGGAGCATTCCTCTCTCTCTCTATATATATATATATATATATATATATATATATATATATATATATATATATATGTGTAAATTTTCTAAACACTAATTTGACACCACCAATATAAATGAAATGTTGCCAATTGACACCACTCAAATATTTTTGGTAATTATATATAAATTAAAGGTATTCTATTCTAAAAATTAATTTAACACCATCTCTATGAATGCAACGAGGGTCAAAGTATAAATATATATGAAATAATTACATATCTATCACATATAATCACACTATATCATAATGACTTTTAGTGATATTTTTGTAAATAAGTTTATTTCAGAAATATTTTGGAATTTAAGTCAAATATATACATAGTATATACTACGTATAATACAGAGCAATTTTTTATATCAAACCGTGTCATTGCACCTATAAAAGCATCATATTTGACCATCAAATAAGCTTTATTTTGATGCTTCAAAATAAATTTTTGATGATTTAAATGGTTGAATTTGAAACAGAAAATGACTTTGTATCATTTTTAGGGAAAAGGTGCAAATAGGCCCATGTACTAACCAAAAAAGGTCAAATAAGCCCTTATTTAGGAGGCTCTGTCCGGTCATCGCCATTTGAGGTGGTTCCCGGTGGAATTTTTTGATGAATTTTTTTTAGCATCTTATTCATAAAGTCTAGTTTACTCATACCAAATTTCAGCTAAAACTTCAATCGGTAAGGCATTCAAATGAATTCTTGAAAATAACTGCGCAGTTAGAAGCACAGTTATCTTCAAGAATTCATTTGAATGCCTTCCCGATTGAAGTTTTAGCTGAAATTTGGTATGAGTAAACTAGACTTAATGAATAAGATGCTCAAAAAATTTCATCAAAAAATTCCACCGGGAACCACTCCAAATGATGACGGCCGGACAGAGTCTCCTAAATAAGGGCTTATTTGACCTTTTTTGGTAAGTACATGGGCCTATTTGCACCTTTTCCCTCATTTTTATTATGTATTTGAGTGGTTAGGATATGAAATAACTATTTAATTGATATGTATTATTATTATTGGTGATAATTGACACTACCTTCATGGTTGATACTGTTAGTAATATTTGACACTAACATTAGAACATAAGGAGGTGTCGCAGTTATTAAGAAAAGTGAATTCTATGATTGATATTGAATTGATAGTGTAAGAATAAAGTAAAAATAATTTAGAATCAAACAAATTTTACATAATTTGATAAAAGATAATCTTAGTGGGATAAACCGAAAAGGAAAGATGAGACAATCTTAACAGGAGTATCACGTAAAGTTATTTTCTCTATTTTAAAACTTGAAAATTGACTCAAAAACTGTAGAAATAGTAGTTTACGAAGTTTTGACACCACTGAACTGAATCGCTGGCTCCGTCCCTGCAAGTCAGTTTTCCAATGTTAAAATTACACACATTTAAAAAGAGTAAAAGCAATTATACCACTTAATCTTTCTTTTCAAGTGTTTCAATTTATGATTTTTTTAAAATCAAATTTTCTTTTGGTAGTGCAATACTTCGTATATGAGCATTTATAGAGAGTACTTAGCTTTTGGTAGGGGACTGGACCGAATGCATTGCTGTAAATGCAGCTCACTATTGCTCTTCGTATTCAATTTTTTGGTATGATCTTGGCCCAAAAACCAAGTCCTGACAGCGTGTCGTTTTGACCCTAGCTTGCCCAACACCGTGCCTTCACGCTTGGCTGACAGAGCGGAAATCATCCGGAGTCCGAAGATAGAGGGTCCTTTGGCCATCACTGCTGCACGATAGGAGGATTGAGTGATCGGAGTTACTGTGGTAGAGAACAGCGGCACCGATGGAGGAGCGGAAGCCGTCTACTGCCGCTGCCATCTGATGGGCCTTCGTCCGTCGTTGCCTGAGATGGGTGGTGTTCTTTGGATGTTCCAGGCTTGCGGGTCGCAAGTCGTGAAGAGACCTTGGCCGGTCATCTCCTGCAGGACTCCGGGGCCCCTGGCTAACGACCTGAACATCAGCGCCGGAATGCATTCGACGGCTGACGGGGGCCACACTTCTGGCTTTCCTAGCGACGGCGGCTACGGCTTGGAGCAATGGCTTGGTGAGATCCCGAGCGGCGGCATGGAGGTCTGAAGCAACGGTGGTGGATTCCTGTCTATAGCGCACGCTGGCGGCAACATCTGCGGTTCAGATCTTTAAAGTTCCAGAATTGAAATTCCAGATTTTTGCATTTGGATCCGAAATTCCGAAATTGTGATGAGTTTTTGGGCATTCTGAGAGGAATCTCACCAGATTTTTTTCATTCCTTTACCACATTTTGAATCACGGGCCTGAAAAACTGCTAAAAACCTTCCATTTTCTGAATTTTTTTGATTAATTCCTACTAAAGTGATCTGAGAGACAACAGAAGCTCTCAATGAAAGCACCAATGTTGGTCCAAAATAGGATGCTTGTAGGGTTTTAGGAAAGCTACCTAAGAACACTCGAGGAAGAATCAAGAAAGTAATATGAATAAGAAAAGTTGCTCAAGAGTTTGGTTGCCAGAAATAGCATATTAAAATTGCTTCCCCTAATCTGAATTACAACCTGACTTTTATAGATGTATACAAATCATAACCGATATCGATAATAATGACTAATTAATTAAAACATTAATACGAAATTAAATACATAATTAAACAACGCATTAATTGCTTGACCGTTAATTTTCGTAGCTGATCGGTCGGCCGGATCGGCAGGCTCCCCGCTGGGCTGGTAGGCAGGCTCCAGGCTGTAGACTTGGATTCACGGGTCCAAGTTCTGGGCTTGGGCCGATTAGGCTCTGGGCCTAATCCCATAACTCCATCACGAAGTGTTGATCCAAAATAGGACGCTCGTAGCCTCGTAGGCTTTTAGGAAAGCTACGTTAAACACTCAAGCAAGAATCAAGAAAGTAAGAACGAATATGGAAAGTAGCTAAAGAGCTTGATAGCCAGAAATTTCATGTCTAGTATTTGGAAAATGACTTGCCTTTTATAGGTGTTTACAAATCGTATCTGCTATCAATAATAATGACTAATTAATTACAACATTAATACGAAAATTAAATACATAATTAAACAACGCATTAATTGATTGACCGTTACTCTTCCTGATTGGCAGGTCGGCCGAGCTGGCAAACTCCTGGCTAGGTTGTAGGCAGGCTCCAGGTTGTGGGCCTGGAACCCACGGTCCAAGCTCGGGGCTTGGACCGATTAGGCTTTGGGCCTAGTCCCATAACTCCATCAAAGGTGAAGATTAGGCCTGGGACCGGTTCGGTTCTTGTTAAATTTCGATGGAACCGTATTAAAAATTATAGTTGTTAAATTCAATTCGGTTCTAGTTAAAAATGTAGTTGTTAAATTCGGTTCACTTCTGGTTAAATTTGGTTCGGTTCTTATCTTTTTTCGGTTCCTTATAAAAATTTATTATCCTCCTAAAATAAACACATTTTACTTTTAGTTACATAAAAATTCAAATTTTCAAATCATGAAATTATGACCATTACATTATACATATGATATTCCAATGTTCAATTATCACAAAAATATCCACGTGCAAACATTAAATTTAAACATAAAAAAAATATAAAGATTTAAATAGGCATCAATTGTCAAGCAGAAAGGTTTAATAGCTCCAAGGTACACATTCAATAGCAGATAGTTCAACCCCAAAATAATACGATAGTATTCTTCTACTAGTAATGCACCACAAGTAAAAAGTATGTAATAATAAACTGACCAGTAATATTAGTAATTTACTTTGAACAAATAACAATGTAATCAGCTGAATATTAATTCCTTTTTAGGTGAACTCAAATAACAAATACAATTACAAATTACAAACAAACAATAAATATAAAAGTGGACTAAAGTAGTAAAATAACAACTCCTCGAATTGGCCCGGTCCAAAACATATAAGGTATATTATGCAAGACAAATATTCATGACAAGAATTTTCTGTTCAGAACGCCGACTGACCACCTCCATTTGTGATCGTGTTCTACATGAAGTGTAAGATCATATCCACCAAATTTCAGCTTAAAATTAAATCGGAAAGTGACTTAATTAAAATATTGAAAAACATTGCATTTTTATACTACATATATATATTGACATAGTGTTTTTCAAATAATTTATTTAAGAGAATATTACCCGAAATAGGACTAAAAAGGTTTGAAAATTCCAAAATAGGACTGTCATATTTTTATTTCCAAAATAGGACTAATTACTGTCATGTTTTGGCAGTACCAGACTTCAAACATGACAGTATTTTCCAAACTTGGCAGTAGTTACTCCTATTTTGGGAATAAAAAACATGAAGGTCCTATTTTGGAATTTTCAAACTGTTTTAGTCCTATTTCGGGAACTTTCCCTTTATTTAATTGACTTCTCGATTGAATTTTAAGCTCAAATTTGGTGGACATAATCTATATTTCATGAAAAACAAGCTCACAAAATTTCATCAAAAAATTTCATCCAGAAGCACATCAAACGAAGATTACTATGCAGCGTATAAAAATGAGAATGAAGAGAAAGATTGTTACACATGGTACATTCTCATAGTTTGTTAACACTCTACAATGAGAATGTTACCTCATGGTACAATCACTTTATCATTTTTAATTTAGAGCAATAAAAGACCTTAATTAACCACATGAGGTGATTGGCAGAGCTATGGTACACTCTATTTAGAGCAATATAGAGACCAACAAGTATAGTGATTGTACCATGAGTTATTATGTCTTTTCAAATGTTAACTTCAAGAAAAAGTTAAAAAGAATGTTTGCAAACAATAGTGCTTAAATTAAGGCTATGTTTGGCATGCAAAAGTAAGTGTCTTCTAGCTTTTGTACTATTTAAAAAGTTCTTAAAAGCTTTTAGTTGTGTGTTTGGCATGCAAATTATTAAGAGCTTCTATAAAAATAAAAGATCTTTTTTGAGATGCTACAGTGAGTAGCATCTCAGATAAGTCTGTAGCTTCTAGCATTAATTAGTCCCGACAGCTTGTATACCAAACGGAGTTAAACCAAACAGTCAGCTTTTTATCGAATAGCTACTGCATTTTTCTTTTAAAATCTTTTCAGTCACTAAAAGCTAACAGTTACTGAAAAGTTCATAAAAGTATCTTTTCAGCTAGTTGTGCCAAACATACCCTTAAGTACTTTAAAACTAAAAACAAGAAATATGTGGATGAGTGATTTCAAGTGTTTTATTTTTACCAAATACTAACTTTTGCTTCTCAAAATCATTTTTTATCAAATAGTATTATGTTTTGCTATTAATTACATAGTACTTTTCATGTAATGTATCTGGAATTAATTAATTACTTAAACTAGAAACAAACACAAACGCTCATTATATTTAGAGAAATAAAAGACCTTAATTAACCACATAATGGAATTTGATCAGTTTGATATATTCCCCTAATCCCCCAACGCGTATAGAGAAAAGAAGCTTCAGAGCTAGTACATAGACTTGATCTTAAACAGGGACTTGAACAAGTCCAGTCTATGGTGTAGTTGTTGGGAAAGATATGTTTAAATATTAACAATACGAAGTATTAAGAAAACATCCACAGTAGCTATAGAGTTGATCATCTTAAGCAGGGAATTGAACAAGTCCAGTCCAGAATGACTATAAATATACACTCCCCTCCCTCTTGCTCTATCATCAATTATTCAACAACTTTTAACTATATAATCCTCAAACGCCTTTCATTCCACTTAAGAGAATGGCTTTTCGGTTCTTCATCTTTGCTATTTTGGCTATTACTATAGCTTCTTTTGGCAGTGCATCCGATCCCAGTCAATTACAAGACTTCTGTGTTGCAATTAATGATTCCAAAGCTGCTGGTATATATCCATCTCATATACCCAATTCAATTTCTTTAATTAGTGTTACTTTGGAGTTTGGACTTTAATTATGTCTATTAGTATATATGTTGATGTTTCTGTAATAATATAATATGCTTGTAGAAGGTAGTCACTCACTCTGCCACAAATTGATGTGCACTTTTTATGGGTCAACACAATTCAATTTAGAGTAACTATGATTTAAGTTTTCCGCTTCAATAAAGCTTAAGTTTTTATGGGTGAGCTTAGGCACATCACATGCCTAAAGTAAAGCACCAACTATTTCCATTAAACTTTATTAAATTTCTGTTATTATTGGTCACAAAAATTATTAGTTTTCTTCTTTGCACAGTTATCGATCATATTACTTTTAGTTTTTATTTCATCAAATTTGAAATAGTCTAAAGCGATGAAATTACATTGTGAATTAGTTCTTTGTATATATTACCTATGTATTCTTTTATTTTACAACAGTTTCTTTTTTGGACAATGTTTTAATCTTTGCAACTCTTCCCTTTAATGTGACGCTCTATTTATTAAAATAATTAAATACTCTTAATTACATTTTTCCTCAACTACTTTATCTTGCACGTGGAAAACCCTGATGATTGGTTTAGAGATTATATTTTGAAAATTATTCTAAAGTCATTCTAAAGCTAAGTCATAGTTTTTTGCATTGAAGAAAGTGATTTGTTGGTTTTTCATGACTATTACTCCTTTATATGTGTACATTTAAAAGCTGACTTTTCCCCTTTTTATGGTAGTGTTTGTCAATGGAAAGATCTGCAAGAATCCGACAGATGTCGATGCGGGGGACTTTTTTCTCTCAGCGGGCCTTAACAAACCCGGAAATACATCAAATCAGCTTGGATCTGCAGTTTCAGCTGTGACTGTGGATACCCTACCTGGGTTGAACACTCTCGGCATTTCACTAGCTCGTATTGATTTTGCTCCCAACGGGGTCGTTCCTCCGCACACCCACCCTAGAGCATCGGAAGTCCTCGTGCTCTTGAAGGGTACTCTATACGTTGGATTTGTCCTTTCAAACCCTCAACCGGGAATGAAGAATAAGCTCTTTACTAAAATGTTGTACCCCGGAGATGTTTTTGTGTTTCCACAAGGCCTTATTCATTTTCAGCGCAACATCGGAAAGTCAAACGCTATTTCCTTATCAGGCTTAAGTAGCCAAAATCCAGGAGTTATTACGATCGGCAATGCTGTTTTTGGATCTAATCCACCCATCGATTCAGACGTTCTCACTAAAGCATTTCACGTCGACACCAAAGTTATTGAGTATCTTGAATCACAATTTTAGTATGATGACCATAAATAATTAGTACTTCTGATATCATGTAATAATAAACTCATGTAATAATACTTCCTTTATAGTATACTTTTATACATATATGTTATATGTATAATGTATAACATAATGTGAACACTCATAGGCATGCCTTCCGCTAGAGTTGATTGTCTTGGAATAAAT